GTTCACTCGCCCGTCGTTGATCAACCACCACGAATACCGGCCCGCTACGAAAGTATGATTCACGACGATCGAAACTATGAGCAAATCGAAAATATTACAAGCGCTTGGAAAACGTTGGGCGTAAATGATGTTCGACATACGGAAAATTCGAGCACAATTGAAGATGAAATTACCGAATTCGTTTGGCAACGATCGCAATCTCAGAAGGAGTTCGGTTCGGCTCGCAAAATGCCAGTCACTATGACTGCATATGAAGCTGAATTATTGTCGACGAGAAAGAAAAATGGCGACTACGATACGCTCAACTTTGAACCAAAAGCGAAGCCAATCAATCCAAATAATGACTATCGAACCATTGTGACAATTACAGCGCCGGCATACAAGAAGCAAACATCGCAACCGATCACATCGAATGATTATGAGATTATTGGCGATTGTGCAACGATTACAACCAACGCTACCAACACCACCACGTCGACCACCAACAATGGCAAGCCAACGATTGAACCGAAGCCATATCGTTTGGCCGACGACAGTCATATGGGATATGGGGTACTTCGAAAACCAATAACAAATATCAATTCGTCGCCGAAATCACCAACATCCAACGATTCAAATACAATCGGCATCGGAACCTCGTCTAGCGCCGACGATCTCGTCAATCATCGAAAATTCAATGGCCTCAATTATGCCATTGTCAATAAATCCAATCAAGTTTGATTTCTATGAGAAATTGAAGCTAAAAATAAACTAAACACTAGCCATACATCAACAAATAAAAGACGTGTAAGCATATCGCTACCATTTCCATTAGCGAGATTAGAGAGAAGAAGGAGAATAAATCGAAAACTGTCTTGAACAAGCACTCATGTATTTTAGTCATGTACCACTATCGTTTAGTCATAAAACATTAAGAAGACCTTATTCTACTTCCGCATCTAGATATAAATGAAATTTTTTTTGATTTCAAGAATTTTTTTTTTAATTTGTATTTTGAAGCAGCTATATAACAGTGTGACATTTCTATTCAATGTAAATGTTTAATTGTAAATTAACCAATAAAGAGTAGTTTGAGCCAAAACATGAATCAATAAAAAAAAACAATAATTTTGAATACAATTTATCTCTCACAATCGATGAAAATAATTTTGTTTGGCGAATAAAAATTTACAAAATTTGCACGTTTTGGTTAAAATAACATCGTACGAATTGTCACGATGTC